ACACCAAAGCCAGCGAACCTATCCCCACCGATGGCTCAGGAGGGGGCGCCCCCGAGGGGGCATGGGTTAGCCGTACCTCCACCCTCCTCCTCCCCTCCTTGATCCTTCACACCGACGGCCCGAAGAAGACAGAGCCCCAACAACACCACTAAGATCAGGGATGGGGGTGGGGTCGAGAGGAGGGAAATGAAGATAGGGTGGAGAATACGTTGTCCCAGGTGCGACCGGGCCACTCGACAGTAAGGTACCTTCACCTGCGACGACGACGACGACGACGACGATCGCAGTCCCAGCACTTGAGCGGCCACTCGTGGAGGCCTGTGTACCTGCACCTGAGCAACCTGTTCTTCATGGCTTCATGCCTTCATGTCGTCAGGCAGGGCAACACGTCTGCATGTCTTCATGTCTTCATGTCGCCGGCCAAGGCAGCATGTCGTCACATATTCATGGCTTCATGTCGTCGGGCCGACGACCTGGTCTTCACTTCCTGGCGTCTCTAGGTGTTCTGACCCCACCCGGGGACCTGGTCCCTGGGCTTAGGCCTTCATGTCTTCATGTCTTCAGGAACGTCGCGGGAACCCCCAGCCAACGCAACGAAACATTGGTTTCCCGAGGTCCCCACGGATATATTGGGTCGGAGCCAGACCTCCCTCCCCATTTCGTGCCAAGACGAAGCTGGAATAGGTAATGGGTGAAACCTCGGCACGGAACAACATTCAGATGCGATGCTTCGAAACGCGTGGGGCGCCGCCGACAAGCCTCGCTACGCCGTCGGCGCAGCCGGTTTCGCGAAACAGGGGACGTGCCCCGCCGCACATGTGGCCACCAGTGGCCATTTGTGCGCATGGGCGCGCCACTGACGGCTCGCGCGGAGCGGCGGCAGACCCGCGAGTGGCCCGCGGGCCCAGCGGGTCTGAGAAACCGAGCTCGTCACTCTGAATGCCTCGGGGGAGGCGCCCACCACCCGCCTGCCTCTAGCTGGAGATATGAAGCCTGGGGGCCCCCAAACGGGCCACCCTGCCTCCAACCGCGGTCTCCCTGAACGACCAGGTCACGATTTGGAATGCTTCGGAGGGTGTCTTGGGGCCGTCTTGGGCCGCCATGGGGCTCTCTTAGGGCCATCTTTGACCCCTGCTGTGCCGTTTTGTGGCTCTCTTGGACTGCCTGGGGGCCCTTTCGGATGGTTGTGGGGCGATTTTGGAGCCTCCCAGGCGGCTTCTGACGCCCAGAAGACTGCCGTCTTGGAGCGTCGGGAAGCCGAAAAGAGGAGAACCCCAAAATTCACCAAAAACCATAAGAAAATCAATGATTGTTGCCTCTTGGGGCCTTCTTGGGAATGCTCTTGGAAGCTTTTTGAGGCCTCTGGGGCCGTCCTGGAGGCCTCTTGGGCCACCTTGAGGTCACGTTGGTCACTCTTGGAGCGCTCTTGTGCTGCCTTAGGGGGTCTCTGGGACTTCTCCGGTGACCACCCTGATCGCCCTAGGTGTGCTGGGAAGGCTTGGCAAAACGCCCTGCGAGGCCCGGGGGGCCGCTTCGAGGCCCGTCCGGAGGGTCCCAAAGCCCCAGATCCCGGGAGTCCGGTTTTTGGGGGGGGGGTCCCCCCGCCCGGGCTTATAACAATATAAGAAGAGGAATGCGCGAAGCCTTCCGAAGCCTACAGCTGGGGCGCCCATAACCGTGTAGTGACAGACCGTGCGGTGACCTCGGAGACCCCAAGAGACCTCACCGCACGGTCCGTCGCCGTACGGTCTTAGGACCTTGGAGGCCTCAGTCGCCCGAGACATCCTCGGATAACGACCCAAGTCCCAAAACCGTGCGGTGACCCCGAATCCCCACCGACTCACCACAACTGCTTGCCCATTCTGCCGAGAAAGCGAAACCTGCACAAACGTGCACTTCCGGAGCTCCGAGCAGAACACTTGGATCGGCGCTGGGTCCTTTCTCGTCGCCGACACGTGATATTCCTGCGCGGGCCTCCGAACGCGTATGTGAGTAGTGTTCTTCCTGCGTCGACTCTCCTCTTGGAGGATCCCCGAAGCCCCTGGCGGTCCCAAGAGGCTCTGGGAGCGCTCGACCCTACTTTGGTCCTCCCGGACCCTCCTTGATCCTCCTCCTCTACCTCCTGCTGCTCCCCCTCGATCCTCGATCCTCGAAAACTCGGTCTTGGAGCAGGACGAGCTGAAACAACGGCAGCTCTGAACCGGCCCCCGGTTGCCCCGAGATCCTGACGCACCAGCTTTCCTTGCTTCGTCTGGCCGTGGCGACGAGGGCGCCCCCCCCGAAAGCCAACTACGGTCGGGACATGTGTGCTTAGCCTTCTGGTGTACCCATCGTACTTAAAGACCAAAGCCTAGAAATAAATTCGAGCAGCCAGAACAAGATCGAAACAGTGAGTATCGCATCCCAGAGCCCGACACGTGAAAACCGTCCAGCTTTGGTATTTTCTTGGTGCTCGAAATTCTTGCTGGTGATTCAGGCGAAAATAGCTTGGGGCATCATAAGCTTAGCCTGTCATCACGGCGGACCTGGAGCGGATAACTAGCGTGTCGCTCCGCCCCACGAGGCGGCAGGCTCGGCAAAAAGCCCTGGACGATTTGACACTGGCGGACCGGGAAAACATACAATGCCGAGACTTGGTGGGCAATAGCATGCGGAGTGACACGCCACAGGCAAACACTGATCGTAAGGAGGCGCGAAGAAGGATGCAGGGGCCTTTGGGCGCCCTTGCCGAAGCCTGTCGAGTGCGGCGGCGGATCGAAGGTGGCTAAGGATGGACAGGGAATATCCGACGAAGCAAGGAAACAGGGGTGCCCTTGGGAAGCCAGTGGTCCTTACTATCGGCTTCGACTGTGTCCGACAAATCGTGCCGCACCACGGCCTCAACTCGGCTGGCCCCGCTCCCCCGAGGCTGGCTGGACCGGCCGCAGGCGCGAAGGCCTCAGCGCCGCGCGAGCGCTCGGGGTGGCGCGTAGGACTTTTTCGCCACCAGCCGCCACCCTGCGACGAGGACGAGGACGAGAACGACGACGACGACAATCACGACGAGGAGGAGGAGGAGGAGAAGGAGGACGACCACGACGACGACGACGACGACGATGACGACGACGACGACGACCGAAGACGACGACGACAGACGACGACGACGCACGACGACGACGACGACGACGACCACGACGACGACGACGACGACCACGACGACCACGACGACCGACGACGACGACGACGACGACGCACGACGACGACGACGACGACAGACGACGACCACGACGAAGACGACGACGACCACGACGACGACGACGAGGACGACGACAACCGACGGCGACCGACGACGACCACGACGACCGACGAGGACGACGCTCACGACGACGACGACGACGACGACGACGACGACGACCGACGACGACCACGACGACCGACGACGACGACGACGCACGACGACGACGAGGACGACGACGACGACCGACGACGACCACGACGACCGACGACGCACGACGACGCACGACGACGACGACGACGACCACGCAGGACGACCGACGACGACCACGACGACCGACGACGACGACGACGACGACGACGACGCACGACGACGACGACGACGACGACAGACGACGACCACGACGACCGACGGCGACGACCGACGACGACGACGACGCACGACGACGACGACGACGACGACAACCGACGACGACCACGACGACCGAAGACGACGTCGACGACGACGCACGACGACGACGACGACGACAACGACCGACGAACGACGACGACCACGACGATCGACGACGACGACGACGACGCACGAAGACAGCGACGACGACGACGACGACGACGACGACGACGACGACAACGACGACGACGACGACGACGACGACCGACGATCCTCCTTGAGCCTCGGCCAGCCCTCGCGCGTCGGGCGCCCCGCCTCCAGGAGGGCGCCCCTCGACGCCGCAGCCCCCTCGCGCAACATACCGCCGCCCGCGCCCGCCGCGGGGGCGGCACCTGCGCGGGCCGCCGCCTGGCCACCGCCGAACCGCTGCCGCGCCGCCGCCGCTCGGGAGAGGCTCGCCGTCGGTCGGCGCCCCCGACGCGCTCCTCTCCCTCCTCCTCCTCCTCCTCCTCCTCCTCCTCCTCCTCTTTTTCCTCCTCCTCCTCCTCCTCCTCCTCCAAGATCCCCCTCCTCCTCCTCCTCCTCCTCCTCCTTCTCCCCTCCCCTCCTCCTCATCCTCCTCCTCTTCCTCCTCCTCCTCCTCCTCCAAATTCCCCTTCCCCTCCTCTCGCCTCCTCCTCCTCCTTCTCCTCCTCCACTCCTCCTTCCTCCTCCTCCTCCTCTCCCTCTCCTCCTCCTTCTCCAAATTCCCCTCCTCGTCCCTCCTCCTCCTCCTCCTCCTCCTCCTCCTCCTCCCCAGATCCCCCTCCTCTCTCCTCCTCCTCCTCCTCCTCCTCCTCCTCCTCCTCCCACCTCATCCTCTCCTCCTCCTCCACCACCTCCTCCTCCTCCTCTTCCTCCACCTCCTTCTCCTCCTCTTCCTCCTCCTCCTCTCCCTCCCCCTCCACCCTCCTCCTCCTCTCCTCCTCCTCCACCTCCTCCTCCTCCTCCTCCTCCAGATCCTCCTCCTCCTCCTCCTCCCTCCTCCTCCTCCTCCTTTCCTCCTCCTCCTCCTTCTCCTCCTCCTCCTCCTCCTCCTCCTCCTCCTCTTCCTCCTCCGTCTCCTCCTCCTCCTCCGCGCCGGGAACCCTCTTGCCTGCCCCCCCAGGACCCCAAACCGCTGGCGCCGTGTCCACGACGCGGCCCGGGGATCCCGAACCCCTTCTGTGCCGACTCCTGGGAGCCTCCCACACCATCCAGCTGGGTCTTGCGAACCGACGCGAATCGGCGCTACAGCGGTGCTATCCAGCGGCTACACGACGCCAGTGGACGCGCTAGTGCACTCTGAAGACGAAAAGACGAGGGTATGCAAGACTCCAATGAATTGCGACCGAACGACCCCATCCCCAGAGGCTGGCTTTTACACCCCGCATCAGCGCCCCGAGAGCCTACAGCCCTCGCGCGCGCGCGCTGGCCGGCGGGCGGCGCGTCGCGGCGGGGGGGGAGGCGCTAACAGCATCTAAATCGCACCCGTCACAATGTTGGCGCTCTCTGTTGGCTCCAAGCTCTTCTACGGGGCCTAGGGCGCAATGAACATCAGCGATGTAACGCGACTGTACGCCATGCCATGGAGCATCACGGCTGGGCAGCAGGCTCAGTCATCAGATCGTAAGGAACAGTGGACTCTGCAGCATGCCCATCTCCGCCTTCTCGGGCCCCCTGCTGCGCAGGATCCATCTGCTTCACCAACTCTCCGTTGATGATACAAATGCCGCACGAGAAGGCGCACGTCAGGCAACAGACTGGCACAAAGACCGGGAGAAACAGCATGAAGGCGGACGTCCTCCAGCCGTCGAGCTTGAGGGCCCCTAACAGCAGCCACGGCAACCAGCGCAGCCAGAGACATCGGCCCGCAGCCGCTTCCTCCAGATTCTCCACGTTCTCCGGCTTCACGCCCACGTCGCGCCACGCCCTCTGGCCCTCCTCGCTGCCTCCCGCCTCCCCGGCGCGCAGCCGCACCACGACGCGCCCCGACTCGTTCACGCCGACGAACGTCCCCTCTCGACCGTTCAGCTCTCTCTGCGAGAGGCCACGCAGCCGCACCTGCGAGCCTTCGGGGCCCCGAAACCGTGTGGCGACGGACCGCGTGGCGACCTCGGAATACGCAACGACCTCACCGCGCGGTCCGTCACCGCACGGCTCCGGGGCCTCGGAGGCGCCAACCGCCCGAGACGTCCTCGGAGAGCGACCCGAGTCCCAGAAACCATGCGGTGACCCCGAATCCGATCCCCACCCAGAACCTCGACGTCATGTTGTTCACGACATCGACCCCCAATGGCCCGGACCCCTTCCCCGAAACGGGTTCTTCCTCCCGAATCGTCTTTGGACGGCCCCGAGGCCCGGTGAAGGCCCCATGAGGCCGAAACTGGCGACGAACCTGCATCCGTGATGGCGAAAAACCTCGTGCCGTGATACGTGCACAACGCGAGGGGGCCTGGGCAACCAACCATCTTTGAGTTGGGACCGACCGTCCCGGCATTCCTATAGTCCTGCCACAGCATGCTCCTAGAACCCCAAACTGTTCAAATAACAGACAATGTTCTTAGAACATAAACCCGATATGATAAAACAAGACAGTCCCAGCCAGAAATGTTCTAAGAACATGTCGTGCACACCACACAAGGTTCTTAAAACATTCTTTGGGGGGCCTATAGGCGAGCCAGGACGCTTCGCCACTGCTTGACTCTGGCGCTCACCACGCGGTGTGGTGCCCACACCGTTCGGGCCCCCCGGGGAGCCCACGCTCGCGGCCCGCCTCGCCGGCGGCAGCCAGGACCGGAGCCCCTCGCAGAGCAGCAGGGGCACCAGGCAGAAGAGCCTGCGGGCACCAAGAATATGCACCAACACCACATCCATTCCCCCCCCCCGTCCTCTTCCTCTCGCCTCTCCCTGGGAGAAGGAGGGGCTGGAGGAGGAGGAGGAGGGGGAGGAGGAGGAGGAGGAGGAGGAGGAGGAGGAGGAGGGCTGAGAAAAAGGAGGAGGAGAAGGGGGATGAGGAGGAGGACGGGCTGGAAAGGGAGGGGCTGGAGAAGGAGGTGGGGGTGGAGGAGGAGGAGGAGGAAGAGGAGAAGGTCCGTAGCCATTTTGGCTCAAGTCCGTAGCGTTTCGCTTAGGCTTGTGCAAACTGGCGTGGGGATTCAGCGGCCCCGCCTGCTTTTGGTGCGTTCCGGCACTACGCATCTCTGATACTGCATTGAGGTTCCAGCCCTCACAGCCATTGCGTACACCACGGCTCAGGCGCGATGGCAATCAGGTTTTGGACTTGCTCGCACAAGAAGTGCGGATATCGTGGGAAGTACACGTGGCGAGAGAGTTGGCGCTTGTGTGGGAGAGCCAAGGGGTCTACACCTCAGCCGCCGCGCGGCGAGCGCACACTGGGGCAGTGGGCCAACGGTCCTCCCAAGCCAGCCAAAGAGACGGGGCCGGCACTCGATAGCACCACGCTCGACATCTATGCCTAGATGTGTCCCGAGGGTTTTGCGAAGGTGTCCGAGGACTGGCCAGCCAAGGCCATTGGGCGGGCGTGTCGTGGCGCGGCGGTCTCTGCTCCAGGGCGACCCCATGGCTTCTGCGAAGTGTGTGAGGATGGAACAGAATAAGTTGCAGGACCAGCTGGGGCGTGCCCAGCGCAAGTATCACAAGGCCAACGAGGTTGCCATGCAAGCTGTCGCAGCAGCCGCGAAGGCCAAGTCCGAGTATGATGACATTCAGCAGCAGTGCAAAATGGCGGCTGCTAAAGCGGCGGCCGCCTGCTCCAGCATGGCGCCCCCGTCCAGCACCGACCCCGTCGAGGCGCTCAAGGCGTTGGTGCAAGGCCTCAGTGGGGATGAGCGGCTCAAGCAGATCGGTGAGCAGCTCAAATCCATTGTCCCCGCGCTGCAGGCACTCGTGCCGAAGCCCGAGCCTGAGGCCGCGGATGTGCCCATGGGCGGCCAGGGCGAGAGTAGCGGTGGCGTCGTTGCTGATGGCCCTGGCGGCGCTGCTGCCCCTTCAGCCGCTGCTGCAGCAGCCTCTGCTGAGACCGAGCGCGCCGCTGAGGAAGCCCGCGCTCAGCAGGCCCATGAGCAGATGGTTGCCTGGCTCGAGAGTCAGAAGCAGCAGGCTGCTGAGGGAGCTCAGGGTGACGACGCTGCCTTCTACCAGCAGGTGGCCGCGGTACACGGCGCCAAGCACGGGCTGGTGGCAGGCATTTTTGACGCCATGTTGGATGCACGTCCGATTCCTAACAGACCCAGCGAGGCGAGTGAACCATTCACGATTGTGACGTGTAATGTGACAGGCAAGATTGGGCTTGAGGCCTTTCTCAAACATCCCCGCGTGCGTGGTGCGCGTGCAGTGGCTGTGCAGGAGCATCACTTGCGCGAACCAGACTGTGTGGCGTGGGAGGCCAAGTTGAGCAAGATCGGATGGCGCTCCACCTTGGCCCCGGCCGTCGACACCGAGCAGGGCGGCACTTCTGGTGGTGACATGCAGATGGTGCCCGCGGCAGCTGGCATGTCTGAGTTTGAGTTGGTGCCGAAGACCGTTTCCGCGGGCAGGGCGAGAGTTGTGCACTGCTCTGGATTGGTTCCATGTGGTTTCGCCTTCGCGACGGTGCACCTACATCATAGTGAAGAGCTGTCCCACAATAATGGGAAGATACTGGAGGATCTCGGCAGGGTCCTTGAGCAGATTACGATGCCCTTCTTGTTGCGTGGGGACTTCCAGTTGCTGCCAAGCACGCTCGAGGGGTCTGATTGGGCCAGCGGCGCGGACGCTGTGTGCGTGGCGCCCAGCTGTGCTACGCGCACCAACAGTGCTACCAGTGCAGGAAGGTGCATCGACTACTTCGTGCTGTCGAGAGTCTTGCATCACAAGGACAAGATAGAGGTGCTGTTCGATGCCGGTACCGCGCCACATTTCCCAGTGGTGCTCACGGTCAGGGGTCGCGCTGCAGGCGAGCTCAAGCATCTCGTGGCCAAGGTGCCCAAGAAAACGCCCCTCGATGTGCCCATGGGGTGTCGTGCACGTGATCCAGAGCAGCTCTGGCACCTGTATGATGGTCAGCGTGAGGGGCTTTCCCTCGGTGCAGCATGGCGCCTCTGGCTGGACTTCGCCGAGCGAGACTGGGCGGGCGCGCGCTGCCTCGACGTCGCGGCGGACAGCGAGTATTTCGGTAGATCTGAGGGCCCGAGGTTTCACGTCTGCGAGCCCTCCACTCTCAGGGACCCGGCGTTTCCTCGGTCGTCTCCAGGGGCACTCTGGTGGCGTCTCCTCGCCAGATGTTTAGATGGCCTTGGGGTCTGGCAACCAGGGCCTCTCCGCTCGGGCACTCTGAAGCTGGCTCGCGCTCTACCTTGCTTGGCATCTCGCGCCAAGGTTGAAGTATCTAAGTCTGAGCCATGGGTGCATGTACTCTGTTTTGCCCAGCTTTGGCCATACTCGCTCGCCTCTGCGCTAGCGAAGGTTGCGCACAAGCAAGCGGTGTGCGAGCACAGGGCGGCCGAGAAGGCCAAATATTGTGATTGGAAGGAGTGGGTGCATATGTACTCGCTCAATGGAGGTGCGGCTCTCTATGCATGCAGCAAGCCCCACAACCCCTAGCACTCTAGCAGTCTGTCCCCCTCAGGAGCGCCCGCCACCTTGCGCGAGGAGGTTCGGCTTTGGGAGGAGGGGTGGGCTGGGTGGTGGAAGGTGGGCGCCCTGGAGGTTGAGATTTTATGGCCTGATTGTGGGCCAGCGTTTTCCAGGCCATCCCTGGACGAGCTCAAGGCCTGTTTAAGATCCTTCCCAAGGCGTTCGGGGTGCGGCTTTGACCAGATAAGCCCAAGGCAGTTGCTTGCGCTCTCGGACCAGGCCCTTGAGGCCTTTTTGGGTATCCTGGTCGGGTTCGAGCGTCTGTGTTCTTGGCCCACCATCTGGACCAAAATCGTGTTTCTGGCTTAGCGGGGTGGAGGGCTCAGACCGATAACTCTCGTCCACATACTGGCGCGTGCGCAAGGTAGAATTCGGAAACCAATGGTCTCGCAATGGCAGGCTGCTCACCCGCGCCCGTACTGGTGGGCTACGTCGGGTCGCAACAACGACAAATTGGTTGGGGTCCAGGCTGCCGCGTCTGAGCGGGCGCGTGCTCGAGACATGCACAGTGCGCTTGTGCTGCTCGACCTTCAGAAGGCTTTCGAGCGCATCGGACACTGTGAGTTGGTCAGGGCTGCGTCGGCTTCGGGGCTCCCGCTCCGCCAGCTGAGGCTTCTCGTCGGGCTCTACCGCCTTCCGAGGGTGCTCAGTTTGAATAGTGCTGTGTCTGAACCCATATGTACGCTCCAGGCGGTCTTGCCTGGATGCCATTGTGCCACTCTTGTGCTGCAAGTGGTTTTACTAGGCCCTGTCGTCGACAAGGTTGCGGATCTCTATAGGCTTGTCAGACTGAAGGTTGTAGTAGATGACGTCGGTCTTCACCAGGTCGGCCGGGAGGGTGATGTTGCCAACCACCTTTCGAAAGCCACGCGTTTGTTGCACCAGGAACTTGAGGCCGCCCATCTCCCCGTCGCCCGCCGCAAGTCGAGGGTCGCTGGGTCGTCTCATCGAGTTCGGGCCTCCCTGGTGCGCAATCTTGTTCGGCGTAAGGTCCAGGGCGTGAACCACGAGCGTGACCTGGGCATCGATTCTGCTGCTGCGCAACTTATGCATCAGGCCACGCGTCACGAGCGCAGGAGCCCAGCTCGCGCTCGGGCTCGAAAGCTTGTGATTTTTAGCAAACATGTAGTCAAGCGCAGGATTCATAGCATGGTTCAGGCTGCTGTCTTAGCCTCCGTGAAATATGGGGGCACCGTGCACGGCAGCAAAGCAACGGTCTTGCGAGAGGCTCGGTCTTTGCAAGCACATGTGCAGAATAATCGACTTGCGGGAAAAATGTCACGTTGCTTCTCAAGTTGTCTGGTAAGCCGCTTTGTGATCCAGCGTGCCAGCTGCAATTGGGCCCTCGCTTGGCCCGTTTGGGCCTGCGCGGCCACGGCGAAGCGCCTTGGTTTCGCCATGGACGGTTTTGTTTGGGCGCATCCCAAGGTCGGCCAGATCAGTGTGTGTGAGCAGAATCCTCATACTGTCCGTACCTGGTTTGCTAGGGTCATTCAGGATTGGTTATGGGCCGAAGCTGCTGAGCGTGAGGGTGTTCCTGGGCTTGCGGATGGATGCCACATTGACCCAATCCTTTCGCTGCTGCGCTCCAAGAAGATCACGCCTCAAGAGAAAAACGGCATCTTCGCTCCGTGTTCGCAGGAGGACAATGGCCGCAACATCGCCAATGAGAGCGCAAGCTTGTACAGGAAGGGTCCCCCCGTGCTTGGCGTGCGAAGCTGCCCCAGGTACTCTTCTGCATCGGCACTGCGTTTGTGGCAGGCATGAGGAGTTTTTTTGTTGTCCGATGTGGAGCCTCCTGCTTTCTTGGGAAGCTTGGTTCGGGCCTCCGCCTCGCTTCTCCCCCATCTGCTTGCTGAGAGGCTCCTCTGCCCTGCTGCGGGCCCTCCTCCCTCCATCGAGCCCACGTCCAGGTGGTTCTCAAGAGGGCCCACCGAGATGGGGGGGCATGGTTTTCCCGACGTGTCCTGGATGGACCAAGAGCCCCCAGGGCCGTCCCAAGCTCTTGCCTGGGCGTTGGTTGCGGTGCAGCCTGAGTATCCTTTCAGGGCTCTCTCGGTGTTCTGCGGCACGCTCTCGATGACAGGTGCTGGCATAGATGCGGCAGAGCTGGTCGCCCAGCTGTGCGGTCTGCAGCATTGTCCCCCAGGCACGATCATGTACACTGACAGTCAGTTCGTGCATGCTGGGCTGTATGTGCGTGGGCGCGCGTTTTGTTGCAGCAGCCGCAGTGCGCGGGCTGAGATTTGGGTTCAGGTCTGGCTTCAAGTTGGAGAATGGGGGGGGGGCTTGAACACGTGCGCGTGCGCAAAATTAAGGCGCGCTGCGCGCGTGCGGCCCTCCAGCGAGGGCTGATCTCCCCAATCGGGTTTGAAGGCAATACGCTTGCCGATGAATGGGCTCGTTGGCAGGCTGGCGGGTCTCGTGTGCCTCTCGACCTACGCCAGGCGCATAAGGCAAAGGCTAAGGTGTTATACTGTCTCGCCTTTTGGGTCGCCAAGGTCGGGCCCTTCATGTCCGACTGATGCCTCCGTGAAGGACAGGGCGGCGCGTGCCCGTGGACCGTGCGCGCCACCTCTCTCCGTGCTGCCGCCGCCTGCCGTCGTGCCGCCTGTGCTATCGGGAGCCGACCTGGCGTGTGCTCGAACGGCGCTGGCGCCAAGCAGGCAGCACGTTGCCCATCCGTTCCAGGTTGGGGGGGAGGCGGGGCGGACGTGGTGTGTTGTGTGTGGTGTGTGGGCGTGGGGGGACGCAGATCTCGGCCTCGCTCTCGACCTGTTGTGCGGGACCGCCGCCGCCTGGGCTCTGGGGAGCGAGGGTTTTGTCGAATCTGGCTCGTGCACCCGCACGTTTCTCCGTGAATGAGATGTGGCGGACACTGGTTCAACCACTCCGTTCGGGGCTGCTGATTCGCGCTGGAGAGTCGGCCCCGTCCTAACTTGCTTGGCTTTCTGTGTGTTCACTTCTTGTGGTGAACGGAGGCTGGGGGGGGGGCACCCAGCTGAGGTGGTCGTTGCAAGACCTTGTGGCGCCAGGCTGAGTGGAGGAGGAGGAGGAGGAGGAGGAGGAGGAGGAGGAGGAGGGGGGAGAAAGAGGAGGAGGAGGGAGGAGGAGGAAGGAGGAGAAGGAGGAGGGCTGAGGAGGAGGAGATGAAGAAGGAGAGGAATTGGAGGAGGAGGAGGACGGAGGCAGGGGGAGGATGAGGAGGAGGAGGTGGAGAGGAGGAGGAGGGGGGGGAGGAGGCGGAAGGAGGAGACAGAGGAGGATGAGGGGGAGGATGAGGAGGAGGAGGAGGAGGAGGGAGGAGGAGGACGAGGAGGAGGAGGAGGAGGAGGAGGAGGAGGCGGAGGAGGAGGAGGAGGCGGAGGAGGAGGAGAAGGAGGAGGAGGAGGAGGAGGAGGGGCTGGAGGAGGAGGAGGAGGAGAAGGATGAGGAATTGGAGGTGGAGGAGGAGGAGGCAGGAGGAGGAGGAGGAGGAAGAGGAGGAGCAGGAGGAGGAGGGCGGAGGAGGAGGAGGAGGAGGAGGAGGAGGAGGAGGAGGAGGAGGAGGAAGGGGAGGAGGACGGTCGAGGCTGTACAAATAGGACACGGGTAAAGTGTTACCGCTTTCGTGCCCTACGAAGACGCATGAATGTAATGGGTTTGGGTAAGCACCCCTTACTCTCGCTTGCGCCCTCCCGCCCCACGATTGTGACGTGCCGAGCGAAGTCGCGTCACCAACAAAGGCTGGCCTCCTAGGCTCCTGAAGATCCAGATTTTTATTCTTCTCCCCCAAGAAGCCTCACAGAGGCCAAATATGTTTGCACCTGCCCTCTCCCTCCGTTGCACGGGGTCCGGCTGGGCGGTATCGAAATCTGGAACTCTGCGAGGGGCCAGCCTATCAAATGGTGCACGCTGGGGCATGAATGGGGGGCCGGACATGAGATATCGCGAGGATTTGTTGGCTGTTGCTCGGATGCAAACTGCTCTGTCTCCTCCGTAGCTGGTTACTGGAGCCAGCCTGGCCGGGACCGCGGGGGCATTCTCAGCTGCCTCTCCCGTGATACACTTGCAGTTGGGAGCTTAGTGCGCGAACTCGCCACTGTGGAAGTCGACATACGCGACGCCAACCACCAAGCACCTAGTTCTGGGACTGCGCACGGCAAGCTCCACGCCCAGCACGCAAGCAGGAGGGCTCGAGGCAACCGCAGTCTGGTCTGGTGCAGAAGGGCCCGGCCTCTTCGGGCCCACCATCCTGACTACGCCCAAATCACCAACGCAGACTAATAATACCCGAGGAACACCATCCGGCTTCGTGAGCGCTGCTATCCTGGTGGGGTGAGTGTATGCTAAGACTACCAAAGGTTCCGCGCTAAAGTAGCAGAAGAACAAAAAAAAAAAGTAAAAAAAGAAAAGAAAAGGAAAAAAAAAAAAAAAAAAAAAAACAACAAAAGGGTTCCGCGCTAAAGTAGCAGCCCTGCCCGTAGCGCCCACCCGCGCGTACACTGAGCACAGAGTTCCACTGTTCTGTCGCGGAGTTCTGGAGTCCTTTGTAAAGAAGCGTCAAAGTACGCTCACTGAGAGCAACTTTGTCCCACTCTTCCTGCGAGATGGCCCAGGTGGCCACGCGGAGGTTGAAAGCCGCGCTGCCTCCCCCCGTTGCAGTAATGCCTTCAGGTGGGAGGTGGGGGGGATGCACTTTCTCAGCAGCCCGTCCGGGATGGCTGTTCTGGGCGGGAAAGCTGCCCCTCGTCTGGGAAGGTCTCTCAACACGGCTGCACAAGCCTTGGCTGCCCCCCCGGCTGCAACTGCCTCCGCGCGGGCTGCTGCCGGCCTCTTGCGCGCAGCATGCCTCCTCCCCGCCTTTCCCAGCCTTCTGTTGACCGAGGCTATGAAGCGCTGCCGGGCTCTACGGATGCTCCTCTGCTTCCCGCAAGTAGCCAGCAGGCGTCGTTTGTCGTCCCTCTTCCTGGAAGGGGAGGAGGAAGAGGAGGAGGAGGAGGAGGAGGAGGAGGAGGAGGAGGCGGAGGCGGAGGAGGCGGAGGAGGCGGAGGAGGGCGGAGGAGGAGGAGGAGGAGGAGGAGGAGGTGGTGCTGGCGTATAAGTAGCTCTCGGCCCCGTGGAGCCAGCTCCCACGCCAGGCGCCAGCGGCCCTCGCGGCCACGAGGGCCCAGGCCGCGAGCCGCGCCGCGCCCCAGGCGAAGTGCTCCGCCAGGAAGCCGGGCAGCCTCGCCTCTGGACGCCCGAGGTGGAGTTGGGAGGCAACTGCTGGCCCAGACATGCTCGGGTCGCAAACAAAAAAAAATGGCGCGATTTTTTCGCGTTTTTCGGCCTGGGGGGGCCCTTGCCGGGCCCTGGGGCCGTCAAAAAACGACTCAGGATGAAACACCGGTCCCAGGGAAAGGGACGGGACTTCCAGGGACGCCGTCCTGAAAAATCAAGACGTCGCATGTCTGGGGGGAGGTCTTCGTCGGAAGGACTAAGGAGGATTAAATCCCATTGGGGGGCTGTTACGCCAAATTGGGCCCCGGATTAAGCGGGACTAAGCCGGATTGATCGGAATTAACTTGAATTAAGCAGTCAGAATGTGACCTCTCAAGATTTGCAGCCTAAGTGGAGAACGGACAAAAAACCCGGGCTGTGAAAGAAAAAACGGCGGGAAGTTTCTTTCGCTGTGTTCGGCCGGAAGCCCTTACCGGGCCCTGGGACCGTAACCTGGAGGGCCTCTGACCTACTTTTTTAGGTCGAGTGGATTTGTCCTA